GAGAGAGAGAGAGAGAGAGAGAGAGAGAGAGAATAGGAAAGACGGAAATCAGTGGATCCTGAGGAAGGTGGGGCATACAAAGGATCTCCTATGTACGTTGATCTGTCATCCCAAACAACAGATATATGTCAAGACAAATATGGAATTCTGTATGGAGGTCAAAATGTGTAAAAAAAACTCCCCCACATAATTACCTTAAAGGTGTGGAACACAGAAAAAACACGTTTTAATCAATTTTCTGATGATAATCTGTCACTGAGTTTTCTCATCTCCTTTATTAGCTTCTGATAGAAAATAGACGGTGAAACTCTAGGATTAGAAAAACATGACAGATCTACGTCACACTGTCACCAACATTCATGGACTCACCCATCTTGACTCGTGACGGGGAAGGCTGTTGTTGGTTTAGCTTCCAGCAAACAGCAGAGCATGTCTTGGCTAGTAGGAGCTATCTGTTAGCCTTAGCAACTTCACCACACAGCAGAGCTCCTTCAAACTTGTGCTATTTGTGGAGATACTAGATCCATGTTGCAAGTCAGTGGTGGAGTTGTATTGCTGTTATCCACTCCGGGGCGACATGTTCAAATATCAGGAAATAAGACTCCAAATCCTGCTGTCTGAAGCTCAGCTGTGAAGTGGCTCTCTTCTAATTCCTGGAAATGGTGCACCGTTTTTCCCCCCAGAGTACAACTTACAAAGTATTTATTCCTACTAGAGATCACTGGAAATGTACTGATTAAACAAGTGATCCACACCTTTGAAGTGTTGTTAATTATGAGAAATTGTATCAAAAAATTTTGATTCAATCATTTATACATAAGTGTCTTGCATGATACAGGAATCAACCTTTAAAAACCACTTTGGCTGAATTGTGTCGTGAAATAATTTAAATTCTCGCTCTAGCTCATCAAAACATCCAAACATCAAGATTTCTGACCAGCAATTCAATTCTGATTCAATCTACTTTACCTAATCATCTACTTTAGTCTCTGCTTCAGTGCCTCTGAAGAAGTCGAGGTGCAGGAGAAAAGTGAAGCTGCAGAAAGAAGAAGCTTTGAAGTGAACCATCATTTACCATGGCAGCTCCTTCATAGCAGATGCCGTTCACTCTTTCTAGCACACCACTTCCTGCAGAAAAACTGATTCATACATGTGTAGGTGACTACCTTGTTTGAAAATTCAGTATTGTCAGCAAGAACTACAGTTTTGTTGGAAGCAATTGTTTAGAGGTAGATCTGTTTTATATGCTTTGCTATGTGGCCAATCAGACACGCAACGAGATAATAATCTAATGTAAAGGATGTTTTGTGCTTAAAATGTTAACTGATTATTTGGTTTATAATACAAATATACAACTGTAATTATTGACAAAGTTGTGTAATTTATGATTTATCAGAAAAAAAAACTGCAGTGCATTATACTCGTTATGGAGCCAACAGCACATCCCCCCGCCCACACACACACACAGCTGGGGAAGGACACGCACGCACACACACACACACACACACACACACACACACACACATACACACACACACACACACACACACACACACACACACACACACACACACACACACACACACACACACACATACACACACACACACACACACACACACACACACACACACACACACACACACACATACACACACACATCGAGCTGGGGACAAAAAGGCTGGAGCTACAAGAGAAGACACATAAATGAGACGCAGACAAAGGACACATAAGGGCACTTATGAGACCCAAAATGGGAACCTAGAGGAAGGAGAACACATGAGGGAAGACACAGACACAGACCATGGCATTTTGAGTCTGACAAAAAGCAAGCGACTGCGAAGACTGATGAAGATCGACCCCCTTTACGGCATTCTCATGGGGCTCCCCCAGAAGCCCGGCCTGCAAGTAGCCCAGTTACCAGATTTCTGCAAGCATCCCTGGCATTACCCCCAACGGTAAACCTTGCTTTAACATATATTTTATGCATATTTTTATGATTTTATATACAAAATAATATTTTGTGAGACACCAACACAAATTAGATGTTGGATGCAAGTTCCCAGTGCCAATAATCTGATTAAAATGCAACATTTATCTGTGGAAACCTGGACTCTGGCACTCACCCAGATGTTGACATGTACCACCTAGATAAACAAGATTGCAATGAAGTAAACATCACCATGGCCATGTCATTTGCTTGCAGCAGCAGCCTCACCTAGCAGGACAAAGTGCTCTGACCACAAAACACCAAATGATCTGCTGCTGAATCCACAGCCTCATGGCCTAATAGGTCAGAACAATTTTTACAGTCATGAAGGTGTTTTAGTGCAGTGGCTGATTGGTGTATCTGGTTAATGTTTGCCTCCCTCTGATTTGCTCTATTTTAAAAGAGAGCACTTTTATAAACCTCACAAAGGACTTGCAGGGAGGATGGTTGTAAAAAAAGCCGTCAAAAATATACTTTTCACTAATCAGCGAGCCTTGTTTATTAGGAAAATCCAGATGGGAAGAACAAACGTTCCACTTCTTCCAGTCAAATTAACCTGTAGTGCTTGAAACTTGTGAGCTTTACATATGTATTATAAATAAATGTGATTACAATTAACCTTCATTATCTAGGTTAAGACATTCAATGTTACATTTCTCTGAATAGTGAAATGTGTATTTTCCTCATTTGCCAAGGTTGATTTCTGTGTACATCAACAATCATTTTTTTTCCCCACTCACATCGTGATGTTCCGTTTGGTTTCTCAGAATTTATTTTTCACCTTATCATTCAATACATAGCGTCTTTGAGTTCTTGTGGTGGCTTCACCTACATGAACATTTGGGTCAGGGGTTTGACTCAACCATCACTCATTTAATCGTAGCATTTTTTTCCCAAACCAGTGCTTAGAGTAGTTGCTGTAAAATATTATATATATAGGAATTATTTTTCAGAGGTGCTGATCTGAGGAAAAAAGATAATGTGTAGCACACTACAGCTCCACACGTGTACAGAAAACTGAAATTGATGGATGATTTGGCCATAAGAGCCTTTCTCAAAATTGGTGCATTTTTATGGTACTGAGCCTCTGACAAAGGCCAATGTCTCACACACACACCTGCTGGTGATTGAACTAATCATTTTGTTCTATTACAGGAGAAAGGTTCTCCGATAAGGCCTCCAGCCATTAATCATAAAGCTATGAACTCGGTGTGATTTCATGTTTTACCGATTTCGTAAACCTGCAGTTCCGTTTTGGATTAGATTGTTTGATATAATTTATTTTCTATTTGTGAATGCATTATTTTCTTTTGGCTTGTTCCACTAATTTTCAGAGTTGCGTTTTAATGATGTGTGGCTGTAGGCCTTTTTCAACTGGATGGTGGTTAGTTTAATCTCCAACAGATGCGTGTATGGGGTGGTGGCCTTTAGAAAATGCTCAATACCATGAAAATTAACAACTGCTTTCACGGCAGAAACATCAACCAAATTAAGCTTTTTTGTCCACATATGAATCTCTCTGTTCTCGAACGTTAAAATTAGCTGATGTGAGAGCTCTGAAGTTGTTTTGTAATATGGATGCTCGAAATTTGCTTTTTTTTTTTTAAAAAATAATCGATGTATAAAAAATAAATAAAAATAACGGCAAAATCCTTTTAGGTAACTGACATCACATATCACACAATCTAAAGTTCACGTTTTTTCAATGCATTTGCAGTGGTCTCTAGTGTAAATGAATGCCTTGTGAGTAGATCTCTGTGGGGGAAAAAAAGCTCTCGCGTTCCAGTTTCAAGAACCAGAAGTAAGAGGGGGGGGGGGGGGGGCAGAAAATAGCATCATTTAGTGTTTTACCTGTTATTATTTCCTGTTATTCAGACATCTTACCACTGATTGACTAACAGCAACACGACTCTGACTCTGTTTGCTTTGCAACGTTGATGTTTTATCTCTACAAATAATAAAAGCCAGGAGTTCTGCCATGGTGAGGAGTTGCTAATGCTAACAGTTAGCTTCAACTAGCCAAGACACGCTCTGCTCTCTCCTGGATGCAAAATCAACAATAGCCTTCCTCGTCGCGACTCGCGAGCCAAGGTGGGTGAGTCCATGAATGCTAATTTACAGTTTGACATAGATCTGAGTGGCCTCTTCTGACCCAAGAGTTTCCCCGTCTATTTTGTTTCAGTGGCTAAATATATATTTTTGACATTTTGAGTGAGAGGAGAAGTTGCTGAAGTGTTTGATGGGTAATATGGACATGGTATGTAAAAATCTTGTCATTAAAAAAATAAAACCGAATACCAATAATTAGAAATGTTGCTGCCAATATAGGCCAATATTTTTTAAAACATTAGGATCAATAATGTTTTTCATAATGATAAAAAAAATTAATGTGCTTTAGATTGCACAGCAGCTCTTAAATACATTTTTGATTTTATCATAACAAACAAATTGTTATGAAGATCAAGTATTTTTATTTCTGGTTACATTTGACTGCTGTACTTTTGTGTAATTTCAGAGGATTTTACAAATAACCTTTGAGAATGTTGAATTGAAATCTGTTTTTGTATTTTCGTGATCTCTTGAGAAATTTTAAAAGATTCGCCAACTTTAAGCACCACTGTACATTAGTTTAATCACAGCAGCCATATTTAAGTGTGTGCAATAAAGAGTGACCTCAAAATGGCATGGAAGGGCTCACTGTAATTTGAAAATTAGTTTAGTCCATTAGTCTGGCAGCTTATGGTTGCATACAGCACACATCAATTAAGTTCACCACAGAAGGACGTGGCAGCCTAGAACAAACTTAGATCTACTTGAGATATGACAGGCGCTTGATAACAGCTACCTAGAAAATTCAGCTTTGTTCCTCTGTCCAGGACATTTCACAAAAAATATAAAATAAAATAAAATAATAAATGAAAAGCCTATAAGAATTGATTCCCTGACAAAATCAGAGCTTGCTGATGTCCTGCGTATGGAACAAATGTCTGCTGGAGATAGTAGTACTTACCTTCTCTCTATCGATCGCCTCTTGCCCTTCTGATCCCACTTCTCCCTGCAATGACAAGATTGAAAGTACAAACGACATAAGGTAAAAAAAAACCTTGAAATGCTCATACTAGAATCCTTTTTCTTCAGTATTTTATTCCAGCTGCAGGAATGTATGTAACATGTGAGATTCAACGGCGCCAGAGAAGGAGCTGTTTGAGCTGTACTCTCAGAGTACTTTCCACACACTCAGCCAGAAATGTGTGAGACGTCTCGGAACTTCTTGGCTCTGTTACTGGAGTGTAACCTATACAGTTTATTGACCTCGGCCAGCCTGCAAAGCTCAACTAAGCTGCTGTACTTACAGTGTCCTGGGAAACCATACCATCGCTTTTATAAGATCAACAGCTGCAGGAATTTGTAGCTTTCACATCATGGCATCCAGAAAAGTGTGAAAATGTCTTTTTTAGCCAAATTTGTGCCTCAATATCTCCAACAGACACTCATGCTTCCATGATGCATGCGGCACAATTAAAGACCAAGTTCACTAGTTTTTTTTAACACATTTGCAGTGGTCTCTAGTATAAATGAATGCCTTGTAGTTGACTCTGCTCTGCAACATTGATGTTTTATCACCACACATAACATAAGCCTGAATGAGTTCTGCCATGTTGTTAGCTCCTAATAGCAGAGACACACTCTGATAAGAAAAGCCACAAAACAAAAGAGTATTTAAAGACCAAGTTCATTCAATATATTTGAACATCTTAGGTGTGTTCTTGCTGTGCGTTATTTCTAATTCCATGTTGTCGTTCTTTTTAAAACACAGAAACGGTTTTGTTACCTGTAATTGACGCTACAGTTTCGCCGATACAGACCAATATCTATTATGGACATCAGAACACCCTACCATACACAAAATGTCAGTAATCAGAACACTATATCACCGAGCAAACATAATAACAGAAGAGAGAGACCGTAAACAAGAAGACAAACACATAAAACACGCTTTAAAGACCTGCGCATACCCGACATGGGCAATAAACAAAGGAAAACAACAAACAAAAACAGAAAGCAAAGAACAACCCCAAAAAAAGAACCAGAAACCCAGAAAGACAAGAACCAAAACCAGTGATAACCCTACCATACATCAGAGGCATAACGGAAAAAATAAGAGCAACAATGAAAAAACACAACATAAACACACCAACAAAACCATACACAACAGTTAGAAACAGACTAGTGCACCCAAAAGACAAAATATCAGCTGGACAAACTCTGCAATAAAACATACATAGGAGAAACCGGACGCCAACTCAACACACGAACAATAGAACAAAGAAAAGAGTGCGAGAAAGAGGCAAATCGTAAACACACAAGAGCAGCAAAAGAAGAAGCAGAAAGTACTATAAAAAAGTCAGCCGTAACAGATCATTGCTTAAGAGAAAACCATATAATGGACTGGGACAGCACACGGATCATAACCACTGAACAACAAAAATACAAAAGATGGATCAAGGAAGCAATCGAGATAAGGAGACGTGGATGTGGGACCATGAACAGGGACGACGGAGTTTACACGCTGGACCACGCATGGGACTGCATCGTCGGAGAGGGGAGAGCGGGCAGTAGAGGGCGACAACGTCCTCTGCTGCCCGCAGATAAACGGAGAAGGAAGTGACGCGCCACCATCAGCGTCAGCCTGAAGAAGCCGGCAGCCGTCGGCGAAACTGTAGCGTCAAAAACAGGTAACAAAACCATTTCTGTGTTTTAAAAAAGAACGACAACATGGAATTGAATATATCTGCTGTGGTCTCTAGTATGCCTTGTGAGATGATCTTTGTGTGTGTGTGTGTGTGTGTGTGTGTGTGTGTGTGTGTGTGTGTGTGTGTTTGTTTGTTTGTTTGTTTGGAGGGGGTGTTACTTCTATAATTCCTGATGTTCGTGAACTCACCATTTTTGACTCACGACGGGGAAAGCTGTTGTTTTAGTGTCCAGGAATCAGCAGAGAACATCTCCGCTAGTAGAAGCTAACCATTAGCATTAGCAACTCAACCACAGAGCAGAAGTTGTCCACATATCAGGAAAAAAAAGACTCAAAATCCTGCAGTTAGAAACTCAGCTGTGATCGGGCTCACTTATATTTCCTGTAAATGGTGCACTGCAGTTTTCTTTCCACAGAGTATGGCTTACAAGGTATTCATTCTTAGTAGACCCCTGCAATTGTATTGATTAAGCGAGTGTTCATCGCCTTAAAGCAAAGTATGTTTCAGAAATGATCTCTAAAATTCAAAATTAAACTCTACGTGATATAAATTGGTGCTGCAAAGTGGCATCTGTATTGAAACTCCTGCTAGTGCTCATGACGCAGACAACGTGTGCACTTTTGCATGAGAAAACAGCTTTGTGTGTCTGGCTTCAGAAGCTAATCTCAGTGAGCACAAACGCAAGGGGCTGCCCCATTAAGTGTTGTTTTATATTCCACATATCAGGGTTTGTGAGCAAATAAGTCACCCCACAGTGAGCTCAGTGTATTCAATTGAAAAAGAACCAGGATTAGGCAATCTTCCACACACTGGAATAATCCCATTTGCTGCAAGTGCAACTACTTTCATTTTATTGTGCGGTACAAGTTTTTTTTTTTTATTCTTTGAAAAAAACATTTTCTTCTACTTCCACCTGTGCACTGATTTATTTTTTTAAATTCTAGATTTCATGTATGAAACCAAAACCAAAAAATGGCTAATTAGGATCTTAGGCCCAATTCACATGGGAGGACTCTAAATTGTAGAATGATTTTCAAAACATGAGGGATCCCACATGTCAGAATTAAAAACAAAATCATGCCTATAAAAATGTTGGTCCTACTTTCTATGGCGTACAGCAACATGGCAAAAACTACACACCAAATGTTTCGTAAATAAACAGTGCTCGGTTAGATGGGACATCTCACAAAACTTCTCCAGATAAAATGTGGCTTAAGAGTTGAGAAATACTGTGGTGGAGGAGCATACAGGCTTCCATCAACTTGCTTTCTGATTGGCTACACATCACTTTCCAACGGGCATACATGTTTGCTCATAAAATCAAACTGAGACGGTCCAACATGCTGAATATCCCAGATTTAACATCAGAAAGCTCTCAATGTCCTGTGCAGATTGTAGCCCTTTCAACTCCACACACACACACACAGCAGAAATATTAGATAAAATTGTTTTTATTTATCATTTAAAACCGAAATCCAGAGCTTGTTGTCAGAGGTCCCCATCTAGAGGTGGAAACATGTGTTGCACCTTTAAGCCCCTGGCTATTTCCGTGGTTAAGGCTAGCAAAGCCTCTCATTCACACCTTTAGCTGGACAACCGAGCTAAGACATATCGTTTTACAATTTTTATTCTCACATTATGCTGCTTAAATAAATGAGTTTTTTGAAGACTTACTTGTCCATAAAAAATGTCGCCAACTCTGCACTTATTTCTGGTACTTCTGCAAACCTGCATGTGCTCTGGGACTGACATCTGCACCTAAGTGGATGTCTAACGCTTTTGGCTAATGCTGAAAGGCACTATTCAAATTTAGTTTAGTTTTATTTTATTATTATTATTAATATATATATGTTTTTAAAAATCGATAGGTGGTGCTGCGGCCGCATTGATGAGGTTGTTGTACCAATCTGTTGTGGTAAAGAGAAAGCTGAGCTCTGAAGGCAAAGCTCTCGATTTGCCGGTCAATCTACGTTCCAACCCTCACCTACAGTATGGTCACAAGTTTTGGGTAGTGTCCAAAAGAATGAGATTGCGGATACAAGCAGCCAAAATGGGTTTTCTCCGCAGGGTGTCTAGACTCTCCTTAGAGGGAGAGAAGCTCTGTCATCCAAGAGGGGCTCGGGGTAAATCCACATCGAGAAGAGCCAATTGAGGTAGCTCCGGTATCTGGTTAGAATGCTTCCTTGACGCCTCCTTGGTGAGGTTTTCCGGGCAAGCCCAACCGGGAGGAGACCTAAAGGAAGACCCAGGACACTTTGGAGGCACTCTGTCTCTCGGCTGGCCAGGGAATGGCTTGGGATTTCCCCAGAAGAGGTGGCCCAAGTGGCTGGGCAGAAAGAAGTCTGGGCCTCTCGGCTGAGGCTGCTGCCCCTGCGACCAGATTCTGGATAAGTGGAAGAAAATGGATGGATGGGTTTTCTTTTTTCTTTTTTACTCTTAATTTTGCTCTTGTTGAGAATGCCTCTGGTACACTAAAATGTTCCCACTGAGGTACAAGGAAAATATTTTCTATTTATTTCTATCATATTCCACTCTATTGCATATATGCAAGTCATTTCCACGGAAGAAAGCAGCAAAGCTCTTCGTCCTGTTTGCACTCTGATCCCAGCCCCGTCTGCACAAGCAGCTCAAACATTTAGTTGAAGCTGCTACTGCTGAAACAAGGACATGATTCCTCACTGGCCCGCACGCAGGATGACCGCCAGCTATGTCCATAGCGGCAAATGGCCAAGCCAGAAATGCCAGAGCTTGGAAGTGAAACATGCATCTTTGGATCAGCACAGTCCACCACGAGGCAACCGGGCTCCTGTTTATTCAGTTAATGTAATATTACTGCTTTCTATGTTGTAAGTTATTCCAAAAATGTCAGCAAATTATCATAAATCAATCCAAAGCCAGAAAATATAAATAAAAAATGTCACACGTAACTTGGTTCAAATGAGCTAATTTAATACAACTTTGAAGGGGGACAACCATAGAGTTATTAAAATAGTAATTTCGTGTCATACCGTGTGTCCGGGGTTTCCTGCAAGGCCCGTCTCCCCCAAGTCCCCCTGTGATGAAAACAATACACACGACAGTCAGTGAAAGGTCTCTCGTTCACACATTAGTGAACAGCTTTATGAAGGCTTGTCGTTTCAACGGTGGGCTTGCTAGTCCTGCCGTCCCACGAGTTTTTGCCAACACACAGGCTCAGCTGCAGATTAGGATACTGTTTCCCAACAATTAGAAGCAAAGTGTCCAGCTTTTTAAGGTATTGTCCTAAAAAGTGTGTTAATAGTTGTATTAAACTAACAAGGCAACAGAAATATGGGTGTTTTAAATTTTTCTCACATTTTGACCCCTTCAAGCAGAATAAACAGTTACAAACCATCCAGAGTATTATTAAAAGTGAAGATTACTTTTATTTTATTGATGGAATTGTTGTGAAAAAAGTAACAGTAAAATCCCCAATAAAATAAGTACGTAAGAGCAGACTGAATGAAGGAGATCACGTAAATGATTATTCTTCATTCATTCCTCTTCCTTCACATTTCGTCTTTAGCCTCTGACACAAACTCCGTTTTCCGGGAAACCTAATAATATTTTAACACTGGTGAATATAAAAGGCACAACGGAAGCTTTTGACAGCTAATCGAAACTCACTGTCAGTGACATAATAAACGGCCTTTACTGGAATTCCCAGCAATTCAGTTTAAAGGTACAAAAGGTTTAAAATTGAATTTGAGTGCACAAATTGAAGTCATGCATAAAGAAAAGTTATAAATCATGCAAAACAAATGAACAGTATTGCAAATATGGAAGAAGTATTAATTTCACCATTATGAATATGTGTGGTTTTTTCCTCTTTTGCATGTACATGCAGGAGCTGTAAATCTAGTAATACCAGGGTTTGTGTGCAAGGCCACAGAAAATGGATTTCCTTTCAAGTAAGCTGCATTCTTATAACCCCACCACTTATCTGTTTAATTTCCTGGGGGATTCTGGATTAATCGTAGCAGTTTAATCCCTTTGCAGTGCATAAGAATCCTCCATCAAGCTCTCACTGTAATGCAGGATAGTACTTTTCATTGGAGTAACATGGCCGGAGTAATCCCCACACGCTTCCCTGAGAAACCCTCTTCGTAGGTCACGATGATTGGCCTGCAGCTCTCATTACGGTGCTTTTAAATGCTTCAGATTGCCCAGATGTCTTTGATTAATCTCTGCAAAGTCAAGCTAAATTGTTAGTAAGTATACTCTGACTGTTTTAAATCTCACTCTGCTTAGATCCTCTGGTTGGTAATTGAATGTCTTGTGAGCTCACCTTGTTAGAAGTGTTTGCCCTGACTTTGTTAGTTTTTTTTATCTAAAATGACTTTAGTCATCTCCGCAGATGGCCATTTAGGGATCGATATAAATTAAGACAGGTTAGGTGGGGCAACAATTAAGGTGTGGGATAATGACAAATTAAGGCAAGAGGGGAAATGAGCACAGTGAGCGTGACATTTCTACAGTTGATTTAAACGAAAAAAGTTATTATTGTAAAATTCCCTCTCAAATAAAGCAAATTCTGCAGTTTTATTCTTGACATTTTCAGTACTTTACATAATGAGCCGTTTTCAGGGCTTTATGAAAACAAGCTGAGCTGGACACGCCCATCCTTTTCCTGCTAAGGCTGCTATTGGCTGAGAAGCTTGAATATCTGAGAGGGGCTCAAAGTAGAGCTGCTAGTCCTCCAGCCTGGAGAGGTGAGAGTGGGCTCTTTACAAACTTCCCCATCTGTGACATCACAAACAGGGCCTTTTTTTTTTTGGAAACAGCTCATTTTAGGCACATTGTTCCAAAAACTATACAGACAGAAAACCGATTAACCATTTTTTAAGTTTGGAGTGTGGAGATTCACACGGCAGCTGAAAGGAATGCAAAAAATAGTTTTGCATAATACGTCACCTTTTATCCATTTTCACTCAGAATTGTGGGAACATTTGTGAATCCAGACAAACATTAGAAACATTTCCACTCAATGATCAGTGCTGTTTTGAAGTGTCATCAGTCTTCTTTTACAACAATGCAGCATTTTCACATCCAGGCTGAATTTTTAAATCATCTCTTACAATGTCAGCGTAATTATTTAAGTTTCATGATTTGAAGGATAAAAACAACTTCAGATTACTAAACACTTTAAGTGCACTTTGTGTGGACTCATTAAACCTTCAAATCAGATGCATTCAATGATCTGAGAGCTCTCCATGCTAATGTTTTAAGATGTACTCTGTCTTCTCGGTCTCTTATGCAGATTTGATTTAGCTTATATATATATATATATATATATATATATATATATATATATATATATATATATATATATATATATATATATATATATATATATAATGTGTGTGTGTGTGTGTGTGTGTGTGTGTGTTTGTTTGTTTTTGTGACAAATGAATTGTTGCAGACAAAAACAATTTCATACTGTTCCTTTTGGTGGTTTCTAACGATTATTATTGAATTATCAAAATAGAGTTTCATTGTTCCAAAGTATGAAATGTTAATTTTTCATATTTCTTTACAGTTTCAAGTTGGTGTAATTAACATTTCCTTTACATAAGTAAAAAATGATTGCATTAAATAAAATATATTTTTTCGACCAAAATAAGACTAAAACTCAAACAAAATGGATTGTGAATTGTGACAAAGTTAAAAAAAATGTTGTCAAAAGACTAAAACTAAATAAAATTTCTAGCCAAAATTAACACTGCCCTGCAAACAGTCAACGTCGCATGGACGTGCAGATCATGTCTATTTTGAGTCCGTCGGTCCAGACCACGTCTGTAGGACGTCCAAACTAGGTCTTTGCACAGTGGATGGGTTCTTCTATCTCGCTGACATTCATTAAGGCAACATTCAACCTTCATTTATGATACTTTTACAACTTAAAAAGTCCTACTGATTTGCACATGTTCGACAACGAATCTCTACAATATGCATGAAGGACTGACAGATGAGAACGAGGGGATTTACTTTAAACGAGTTTGAGTTGAAGACAACAAACCACTCAGATGACAACTAACAATGGAAAAGAAGAAAAATGTCAAACTTTACATTAGATTGGTTAAAACAGTGATCATAATGCTTGTATCTTAGGGTCACAGAAAAGGAAAAAGGAGTAAGATTTTCTTTTTTCATTTTTCAAATTAAAGTCAAACTAAAAAAAATGTCAAGCAATAAAATAAACAACACTATTTTCAGAACAAAGACCACACGTCAAGAATGAGTCATTGGTTTTGAGATTATTCAGACACTAATCCAGCTCTTTACTTTAGACTTCTTGTGAAGGACTCACAACTTTAGCTAAATTTATCTCACTTGTAAGACACATTTGTCAGATATAAAAGCATGCATCTGTGCATGATCTTAAATAAATCTAGAACACTGGACACCATCAAAATATATGTTTAATGGCAATTTGATAGACCCAGAACACTCATCAGGTCTCTCATTTTTTATAACCTGAGTGAATGTTTGAGCCTTTAATAAGATTTGTTATGTACAGTCAGTAAAACAAAGGTGCAAAGTATTGATTTTTAATGAAAGAGATTAAATTAGATTTTAGGGGTGAGAAGCTGAATAACAGCATGGAACCTTCAGAGATGATAAGATAAAAATGACAAAGGAAGAACACTGCATCAAAAGTTCTGTTGTGGAATGATTTTCAGAAATCCAATCGATCGTACAACAAAATAAATATTTATTGGTTAGCAGAGCCCAGAGATGTGCCAAGGCATATGCGAATTAAGCGAGTGCTTTGTGCCACCACACCACAGGGGGGCCCCCAAGAGCACCAAGACGACATGAGGAAAATGTGTTTTAATAATTTTAAATAAATAAATAAGATCAAAAGTTAGGTTCACTAACTTTTTTTTTACTGTCTGCTGATCTTTCTTTCAAATAGTTGAATTAATATACCACAATTAAATAACTGTATTATTATTCTGACGCTATGCTGTTTCAAAATGCTAATTAATTGGAATGTTTTTGTTGGTTTGCTGCTCGAGTAAAGTTAAAATCAATACCCATAATAACATCTGTATGATGTAAGCTAATTACAAAAGACACTAATAATAGTGGGCATGTTACACAAATGGTGTACCCTAGGAATGATGAGTTATGTGGTGTTGACTAACTTGCTGGTATGGAGGGCCCTAAAGGGAAACCTGCTTAGGGCCCCACAAAGTCTTGGGTCAGCCCTGACAGAGCCACAGAGGCTTTGAAGCCTATGTCTGGCAGCCTTTGACAGTCCTGCATTTGAAGATAACTATACTGACTTTATGTCTGCCAGTTGTTCTCTTTATTCCACGTTTTTTCTGCAAGACCTCTGCTAATGGAAACAATTGTGAAGTACTCATTTTAGGTGGGGAGTGAGTCCAAGTGTCTTGCAATGATTGATGGTAAGATGAAGTGTGAGATGGACAAACAGATCTGGGCATTGTCTGTTGCTATGAAGGCTTTGATACAGTTTATAATCATGAAGAAAAGGCAGAAAGCCCTTTACTGGTCCGTCTAAATTCCAGCCCTCATTTATGGCTACAAGATTTGGTAAATGACCATAAAATTCAAGTTCCTGGATGAAAGCAGCTGAAAAAAGCTTCCACATTAGGGAAATTTAGGAGATCGGGTGAGGAACACCATCATCCTGAAGAGCTCCTCTGCATCAAAAGGAATCAGCTGAGGTGGTTCAGGCAGCAGGGTCTTTCTTATGGGCCATTCCCATCTGTACCGGGTCGGCCCGGGCCGGGTAGCCCCAGTCGGCCCCAGCTTGGCCCGGCTGATTCCACACATCCTTGCCTTAAGCCCATGTGGGCTGATTCTACCCACCAATCAGAGGCTTGCTCTAATGGAAGGTGTGAATTTGCTGTCAGCAGTGGGTGTGTTGGCCCTGGTCGGCCTGAAGCAGACCCCCTCGAAAAGAGGGCTGAGAATGAGCCTTGGTTGGCCCGGAAAAATACCAGGCCACCCAGATATGTAAACAACCTATGCTACCCGGCCTGGGCCGACCCGGTACAGATGGAAATGGCCCATAAGTCACGTTATGGTGGTGGAATTCTGGGTAGGTCCCACTGGGAGGAGACTTCATGATAGAGCCAGAATCCATATAAATGATAATATATCCAATCCAGCAGTGGAGGTAGAGCGGGTTGTCCTGTAGTCGGAAGGTTTTTGGATTGATTCTGGCTCCCATCAGAGAATGCTGCTGTTGTGTCCTTGGGCAAGACACTTCTGGGCAACTGTGGCTACTGTAGCTCATCATCACCAGTGTGTGAATGTGTGTGTGGATGACTGATGAACCCTAGCCTTTATATAAACTATAAAATCAAGTTTACTGCTATGTTTAGATTAATAAAGTAGTATTTCTACCTTCATTTAATGGTTACTGGTTGTTTTCAGCCATCCTATACACATGGAACATTGAGTAATAACCTATTTTATATTCACATATAAGAATATGTTGCTGTTAGCATCACACGGCACTGCCTGATTGCCAAACGGTGTGTTAGTCATGCCTGAACCAGTCTAGCCCAGTGACTATCACATAACAAGTCATTAATCACCAGTGCTGCACACACACTCATATTACAGCCAAAAGCTTATCTGCATTATGTGAATTAAGAATTGTTAGAGGCTAATTAAAACATATGTAAAAATCAAATTAGTGCAATTTTCTGTTAAACAAGTTTTAACACTATTTAAAATAACAAAGACATAAAGAGGAAGATATGTCTGCTTTCAGTTTTAGTGGAGTAGCAGCTGTATGAGTAAAAATACTGAACAATTTGTTAGGATGTGAACCTAAGTTGTCAAGACAATGTTAAAGCGAAGCCCAAACAACTTTAGAACAACACAAAAGAAACCCATTTACTGTTGTAAACTCTTGTTTGAGGCTCTATATAGCATATGAAACTTTGTTAAGGCTCAAAAATGCCCAGGAGCCATGATAAATGGCCAAATACATCCTCGTAACAAAGCCCTACAATGGAAAGACGTTTGCCCCACCCACTTAGCCTGCACATGAATTTTCAATGAGCCGCATTCTGACAGGCTAGTTTAATGGCTCTATGACAATGCCTAAAGACGGAAACTGTGCACAGCCGTGTACCATATTTGGGTAAGCTATGGATGTATCTGATGTTCATTCAAAGTCTGGACATTCCCAGTACATCCTGGAACGTTAAGTGTGTGCTACGAAATCTTTTGTTGTTTTCTTCTCACCCAACATGGATATTAGCTGTAGCTTGGGCTTGCGTTGTTCAGTGGTTAATTAAATTCAATTCAGTTTTATTTATAAAGCACCAAATCACGACAAGAGTCGTATCATAGCACTTCACAAAGTAAACATTCCAATACAGTTTAGTTAGCATTATCGACATCAACATTTATATGCTGCCGCCACTGAAGTGGGTTTGGACATGCAAATGTAAAGGTCTCATTTAGTGTTTTTTAAATGAAAACTTTGTGATCAGTAGGATGAATTAATACCTTGTTTCAGGGGTTAGATGTTTGTTGGAGAGGGTGGGCCGAAAATGGCAGGATTACCCTGCTGAAAAAGCCAGCATAGACCAACACAGGGCTGGGCGATCTGGCCTAAAATCAATATCACAATATATTGAGGATTTCACCTCGATAACGATAAATGGACAATAACTGTACGTATGTGCAGAAACAAAAGTTGTCCACTAGATGGGGCTGTCACATGTATTACGTTGAGTTACATTTTTATGTAAATCAAGGTGGTACAGCTTCTTAAAGGGACACGAACGTTGCCAACCTACACACATCTTTTCATGTTTTTTATGTATCAAATTCATTGAGATGGGAAAATTTGTCACGATAAGAGTCCAAAATTTCAATAACAATAAATTTTCTTTTTATTGCCCAGCCCTAGACCAGCATAGGTGTTACCAGCATATGATGCTGGTTTAGTAGGATGGTTTGCTGGTCCAGCATTCCATCACCACCATTCCATGCTGATCCAGCATACCAGCACCCAAACACAACATATGCTGGTAACCAGCTATGCTGGTCTATGCTGTTTTTTTTCCAGCAGGGAAGTTTTAGCATTGGAATATACTTGCTTTTTAACCTCGCACTGGTGCATGCAGCAAGCTGTCTGTTCACATACTTGCTGCTGTACGGCACTGCACTGTGTGTAGTACCGGAGGATTCCAATAGGGACACCTTAGACCACTCAGACCGGATAGAAAGCCAGATTTGTGGGGTACAACCAAAACAAACAAAGCTTCAATAGAAGAGATCAGTAACTGGTTAATTTTGAGATCGCAGCAGAAAAAAGTACAGCAGCCGTATGGTACATAGTATGAAAGACCTCTAAACCAGAGACACCATGTCACCATAGTGAGTGAGTCTCTCTCGTTTTGTCAACTCCACCTACTGGTTACTCATATACTGCAGTGTTTGAACGTTATGCGTTAATTTCGAGGGACGTGTACAAACGATTCTTCAAATCAACGCAAGTTACATGTGGCAGCCATTTTAAACATGTTAAACAGCAAGTATATCACCATCCGAAGTCATTAAAGCTGCTACAGTGAGTCTACAGAACAAGCTAGATTTTGAATGCAAACACGGTCACGGAACACTCACCTCTCCCCTCGGGTATCTTCCCTGAAAATAGTGCTAAACACCAGTCGCCATTTTTGTCAAAACGTCTTTTGTTGTACGTGACTTCAAATGGTGTTTTTCTTTTTGGGACTCTGGTGGTTTGTCCTAAAGTTGAAGTGGTAGCAGCCGGCTGTTTCTCCTTCTCTGACGCGAACCTCTCACACCCCACAAGTTTATAATTACAGAACTGGCCTTAAATGTTGTCTGGTTTTAATTTTGCATGCAAAATTATTTTCTCTACTTGAAACAAACAAAGATTTATCCAGGAAACGCAACACAACTTTTTGTTATCATGATTTGTTGTTTTTTTCTAGTCTTCCAGCTAACACAAACCCAACAATTTTCAATAAGTGGGCCTTTCCTCTCACAACTCAACATGTATATTGAGCTGTTACGTAGAAAAAGAGGCATTTTTCTTGAACCAACACCTGTTTTCTAGTGATTTCCCAATTCACACTTCTTTGGGGAATCGGGTGATAATTCACCTTGTGGAGGTAATTGCATAGTCACTTCCTCGAAGGACCCTGACAGAGAAACCTGACGTTTTGCTGGACACTACAACACAGACTCTCTGCGGGAGAGAAGAAAAGCTTCTCCTCCCAGCATAGGGGTTTGCATTTGCCCTGCAGAGAATTGCTGTCATTTTTGATATTTAGACCTTGCAGACGTCCTCAAGACACCAGCAGCTCTTGGCACAAAGTACAGTAATAAATGAATAGCGCAAAACAAAACAGCAGGTGAGATAAAAATGAAAGTAAGGGTATTTGAAAGGAGATCAAATTGAAAGCATCATGATCTATTTGATGCAGCAATGTTTCTGGGGCTAGTTTAACATCTAGATTATTATTTTTTCCCTAAAGCAGCATTTTTGAGAAATCTGCATAGGTTTTGTTGTGGATTTGCTAATGCTAACAGTTAGCTTAGAGTCAAGACGTTCTCTGCTGTGTCCTGGCCGCTAAACCAACAATGGTCTTTCTCATCGCGATTCAAGCTGGGTGAGTCCGTGAATGCTAAGTGACAGTGTGATGCAGATCGTCAGACTTTTCAGAACTGAGCATTTTTCATCCATTTTCTATCAGAACCTAATGCAGGAAATAGATGTAGAACATTTTCACATTCAACCAGCATGAAAAAACTCAGAGTGATTGATCATTTTCAAAAATAATGAGTGAAAAAAAGTTTCTGAGTGAACCTACACTTTAAAGTTTGGCATTTTTTGTATCCAATCTGGAAAAATAATGTCATCACAAAAATAACCAATATTACCAACTTCTTGTGAATCATGGCACAGTGTGTGGAAGTACACGTACTTCCACCTTTCAGACAAGTACTATGTTTGGAGCAGTGAGTGTCATTTTCATGAGTGCAATGCACTGAATGTATATCATATTTGGCATAATTTCTTTGTTAATGCATTAAAGCAACAATGATTTTGGTTCGCTTCCAGGGAAAATCCTTTTTTTAAGTATAAATGTCTTTTAAGTGGCTGTTTAATTCCCATAAAGGATAGGGTACATGTGGTGTCAAATCAGGGCTGGCGCCGTTACAATAGCCATCACACTGGCTCAATTGGTGGCTCTTGTTGGGAGCAATTGATCGTATCTTTTCATCTGGACAATGGCATCTGTCAATTGACTGTGAGGCTGGCTGAGAGAGCATCGGGGAATCAGGGGACTAGTCGGGGGAGGGGATGTCCCATTAACTGTCTTCTTGACTCCACACTGGATCAATACAGAGATTTAACCATTTAAACCCTTTCTTTTGTCATCTTTGCTTCTGGAAAGGAAATAAAAATCTCCAGACTTTACAGAACTGTGTCGAAGCTTCCATAATATTTTATTTTTATGCTTCTATGGATTTTAGCTAAAAGGTGATGAAATCACACTGTAACGAGTCCCGTGGGTTTGTGGCAATTCCCTAATAGGAATTCTATTCTGGCGTGACAGTGTGCTTGAAGAGACAAGGGGGTAGGGGTTAAAGGTCATTATTCCATGTGGAATTGCTATATCATTAGCTCCCATCGATTTTATGGTGATGAAAGATCTCCATTAAGTTTCTATCTGGTGTCCTTTTTCAATGAACCAACCCTTTGTTGCATTTTAATTGTCTGTTTCACTCCCTGCATGAGCAGGTTAGAACAGGCTGTTGCTGCAGATGACCTACACGTTTATGGGAAACACAGTTAGTTTGTGAACATTTAAGAAAAAATAATCGATTTGCATGGTTAAAAAATACAACATGAATGGCGATTATCACAGTGGTAAGGTGTCAATTCTGCAAAAACCCAAACATTTTACCTTCGATTTAAGCAGATCATCGCAGTTTTCGATCTCAGCCACATACGGGTCACAGTAGATGAGAATCTGTTTTAATTCAATCTGTAGAAAAAGGTTGGGGTATAATTAATCGCTTCATATACAGTAGACCATGTAATTGGTCTATTAAAGCATCATGCATTAGATCATTTATTACATCAAACTTTTAATTGAAATATGTTTCTGCTTCTCTGCTTAAAACTCTTCATTTTGTCAGGTGTTGTTGCTTTTAAACGTTTTATAAGCGCATAAAATACTTCCAGCTGACAACTGACTCGTATTTTTACTGACACAGGCTGAAAAATGCATTACGAATTCTAGTTAAAGGAATATTTCTGTCAGTTTTTAAGTTCATTTTTGTGCAAGAGTATTAAAACATTAAAATATCCTCCCAGTTGTACATTCTGAAGCAGCCTTTGTCCTACAGGAGAGATGGACTAACAGCTAAGAGATGCAGTAATTAGTTGGTGTTTAGAGATATTTTTAACTAGCAGAAATACACTTCAGATGTGGGTCCATTTGGACCTTGTTGACATCTAAATGGCTAGTCAGAATGGATTCACATCCAAAGTGTATTGCCTCCACTGTACAAAGCTCAAATCTTCTGGACCTCACAGTGGGTCATACAAGTATTTTTAAACCTTTTTACTGCTGTCAATTTCTGTGGAGATATTTAAGACAACTTCACTCATTCTTTTCAAAAGATTTTCAGTGGTTTGCAAATGAATGCCTTGTGTGTTGATCTCTGTAGGGAAAAAAAGCTCTTGCGCTTATGTTTTAGGAAGTTGGAGTTACACAAATGAGCAGGGAGCAGAACACAGCAGGATTTGGAGTTTTGCTTCCTGATATTCAGACATCTCGCATCTGACTCAACGTTGATGTTTTATTGCCACAAATAACACAAGCCTGAAGGAGTTGTGCTGTGTTGGGGAGTTGCTAATGCTAACGGGTAACTTTTAGCCCAGACAAGCTCTGCTCTCTCATGGAGGCTAAATCAGTAACAGCCTTCTTCATCACTAGCCAAGATGGGTGAGTCAGCTATTTTTTTAATGTGACATGTAATTGACTAGCTTTCCGAGAGTTTCCTCGTCTGTTTTCTTTCAGTGGCTGATGCAGGAAATGGGCGTAAAAGACTATTTTAACGTTTAGCCGGCATATGAAAGTGAAAAACAGTTTCTCAGTGATCTTGGGCTTTGAGCTTACCCCTGCCAACTCCAAGATTTCTATATTTAGCTGTTGTTGGCGATTTGTATGCTTGTAAATAACTATGTAATGCAAAATGGACACTGATGTACAGAATTTTTAATGATAATATTACAGCATAGAGCCTTTATGAAATTTTAAAGATTAATGCTGTTTTATGACTGCTCCAACGTGCTTTGATCTTGGCTGCACTCGGACTGGTCCTAAAGAACATAAATTCGTATTTCTCCAGACAGAAATTGTCTTGGCAAGCTACTAATTATTTAATGAGCAGGTTCACTGAGAAACCGTTTTGTACTTATTATTGTTGAGTAACTCTAAGTTTAACATGCAGGCTGAACGTTAAAAAACTGTCTTTTACTCCTATATTCTGCAATAGCTTCTGATAATTAGATATAATATAATAATTGGAAAAACTCTAGGATTTGAACATACTGACAGATCTACATCATACTGTCGCTTATCATTCATGGACTCGCCCGTCTTGACTCGTGACAGGGAAGGCTGTTGTTGATTAGGCATCCAGGAGAGAGCAGAGTGCATCTTGGCCAGTAGAAGCTAACAGTTAGCATTAGCAACTCCACCATATGGCAGAACTCCTCCAGGTTTGTGTTATTTGTGGAGATAAAACATCAATGTTGTAAGTAAATATAGTTGGTGGTAGAGTCACTTTGCTGTTAGCCAATCAGAAGCAAGATATCCAAAAATCAGGAAATAAGATTCCAAATTCTGCCGTCTGTTGCCACCTCCTCCTCTAGCTGACCTCAAACAAGCGCACCAGAGCTTTTTTTCCCCCAGAGAATCACTTACAAGGCATTCACTCCTGCTAGAGACAACTTCAAATAATAAAAATATGAGTAAAGTTGAGCTTTAAAACGTTTAAACAGGAACACATTTCAAAATGGTCAAAACACCAATTTATGCAAGAACACTACAGACAGCTTTTGAAGGTGAGGCTAGCAATAATGACAAAAACATTGATCTCATTTAGAAAAACAATCTCTGAAGAAGGGATTTTAAAGCATAGGTGCAAAGTTAATCAGACTGAAACATACGTCTACAGGTCTTCCGTCCTCCACTCGTGTCGTGATAAGTGTTCGTCCACTTAGGTCCACGACATTCTTGTCAAAACTCACTCTCCTTTCTAATAGCTTGCAGTCCACATAAACCGAGACGAACTCCCCATGTACAGAAAGACTCAGCTTGTGCCACTGGCGATCAAACAGGACATGCAGCTCACGACTCTTGAACGTGAAGCGGATTGTAGTATTCAGCACACTCTGGAAAGAAAACTCCACCACCCTCTTGTCACCATCAACAACGACAGACACCTGAGGACCAGAGGGGTTAGCAAGCATGATTCTTATGTTGTGTTTATAGAAAACACTAACTTATGAATGAGATTAAATCAGATCCACCTGAGTTTCCCCCGATTGGTCGAATACATGCCAGAGATACCAGCGGTCTTTTTTCGTAGTTCGTCTCACCCGGAGGACGGACACAAGGGAGTAGTCGCTCGTAAGGCCCTTCGGGAATACGGATCTAAAAATGAAAATGCATAAAGCAGAGTGGGATCCTAACTGAATGTTTATGTTAAATTTACCCTTGAATTGTCCTACCAGCTCAAGTTAGTTCAAATAAAAAAACAAGTCTAAACATTTCAGGAGCTGAATAATGAGTGAGTCAATCAGTTTCAGTGATCAATAAAACATTTTAGTATCCTCTTGATGCAGAGGCATTCACATAAATAAAGCTGACAAACTTAATTCCATTTAGCGTGATGAATTTTCCTCAAGCCTCCATGTCATTCAGATAATGAAAGCATGCAGTCATTGATCCAAAGACACGTGCAGCTCTTTTCTCTGCACCGAAACATCAAGGAGTCTACAGTTACAGCACAGTGTAGCTGCAGGTTTACGTTTGTGACTTTGGCTGCTCTCTTTAGAGAAAACTGGGCTTGCAGAAGCCAAGAAATGAAATTAAAATGGAACATAAAAATAAAAATAGTCTAAATACTACAACCCTGCATACCTGACTCCAGACCAAAATTAACAGCCAAAAGTGGAAGAGTATAAACATAATAAATCAGCATGTGCAAAATAATAATAAAGCAATGATAAGGTCATTGAGAAGGCAGAGCACAGCTAGTGGGAGGGAGAGGGAGAGACAGCTTCCTCAGACAGCTTGGAAATTAGTTTTCACTTCAATATATCATTTCCTATTCTCTCAGAGCTTCATACCCTCTTCTATTGTATTCTCTGAGATTTTAGTGTAAACGGTACATGACTAAAATGACAAATGCACCACGTTAAAGCTAGCCAAAAAATGAGTTCTTCAGTAAAAGAGGGTGAGGACTAGGAAGGTCGTTTGTGGACCTGTGGCTAAGGCTATTACAGCTGCAGTTGGATATTGAATGTGGCATGGCAATTTATACAAATTTTACAAAAATTAAATATGGAATGTCCGGATGTCTTTTCAGCTAAACTTATTATATTTAATGATGTGATATGAGGCAATAATTAGGATAAAGGAATATTGTCAACTTAGAGTACATTCACTACCATTGGCACCCTCAAGGGGTGGCCAACGGTGGCCATGGCCCCCAGAAAAAACTGTTCTTTAATAAATCATGTTAATGTCCACACAAACTAGATTTCGACTGATATTGGTTTTTCTATTATTGACATTAATGCCGATATGTAGGAGACGTGGTCAGCTGATGGCCGATGTGTACTGCTAATTTTCATGGCCCATATCCAGACGTTTTCCACCTTATTTTCATGCTTAAATGTCTCTAATAACATGAGTTGATGCACAGAATTTTTGATCAACGGTTACATCTTAACTTTGTGCCCTGCTCAGTGTTAAAGTCAGACACATAAACAAAGTTAAAGTATTTATAATGCAGATGTTATTAGTGAACATAAAAAACATTTAAATCTAAGTCTGCAATGGCACCGGGCTGTCTGAGGATGTGCCTAACTTTAAATCGGCTCTACTAGGGACAAATATCAATGAATGCCAGTGCATAGAAAATGGTACATATAATGTTTATGTTTATGTTTATTCATTTAGCAGACACTTTTATCCAAAGCGACTTACAATTTATAACCTATAGGGCAATGTTGTGATCTGTGGGGGAAACCGGAGTACCCGGAGGAAACCCACGCATGCATGGGGAGGACACGCAACTCCACGCAGAAAGGCCGCAGTCAAGCTGAGTTTCGAACCTGCAACCTTCGTGCTGCGAGGCAACAGTGCTAACCACTGCGCCACCATGCAGCCCATATAAACCCGATATAGCGGCCAACAAATATATCGGTCTACCCCAACACAAACAATAAATTAATCTTAATTAATCATGACATACATGTAAAACCCAATAAAAATAGACAAGTAATGAGTAAAAAAAATCTGAAGAAATAAAGTAGCAACAGTAACAGTAATGCCTATTTATTTAAAAATGTTTGAATCGTAATTTTTGTGGATGTTTTTGTGACGACAGCAACGAGCAAAATAAACTGTTCGAAAATTCAAAAGTACCTTTTAAAAGGACATTTCAAATAACTGTGTTTCCAAAATTTAAGGTAAATGTGTTGGATGCACATTGTTGTCTGAATGAAAAAAGAGTAAAGTAGCATGCAACGCATTGTCACAGGCTAAACTCTCCCAGAGTTCCCACGAGGACCAACCTTGCATGCCACCTCAAAATTTTCTCTGCCCCCCTCCCCATGAAAATTTTCTTGGGGCACTATTGTTCACTACAAACAACTTATTGCTGATATTTAATGTTACTCATGCAGGATACCCCAAAGGAAGGCCTTATTTTAGGGTCATAAAGTTTCTAGTCTTATTTGAAAATCCCAGTGCATCTGTGGTGTGATCCACTTGATTTCTGAGGGTTAAAGTTCTCGGCCTTGTATTGACTTCTTGTGTCTAAGAGAGAAAAAAAAACAACTAAACACTCAGTGTTGCTAAACCTGAATGCTGTTGATCTAATTCTTTGCAGAAATGCTACTCTGCATGCTTAAGTATGCATTAATGAGTGAATAAGAAGGATGTTCATTTATTTTCCCCACCGCCGTGTCACAATGCCAAAAATGCTTTTACAGTAAGTGTGTGACTGCGCCAACTCTGCCTCTTACGAGTCCCATTTAAATATGACTAATTTGCATCGGCTAATATGCTCTGGAAGAAATTTAATTGACTCTTGGATTACATGCAGCCATAAAGTTTTATTAAGTTCGAGTCATGTGATGATTGTGTACTACAAAATGAAGACACGTACTCTAATGAAAATAAATTAGCCTACTAAAGACAGGAATATTCTTTTAAACAGCTTTTCTTAAAAAGAAAATCACAACTAGAACCACAAAAGTCATCACAATTATATTGATTTATTTTCTGTTCCATTTGTTTATTTTACAGTATCGAACATTCTAAATAGGTCCTTTCTTGAAACATATCTGTTTTCTAATGACTACCATTAATGTGGGAATGTAGGGGCACAAAGCTACAATGGCACAATTTAAAAAACAAATTAGCTTAAAACATTGTTGTTGATTTTTGTGGCCTCGTAACAACGTTCAAACAAAGTATAGCTATAAATATAGTGTGGAGATAAAAAAAAACGAATAAAGTGGTTAGGGCTGCAACAAACGATTATTTGGATCATCGATGAATCGGATGGGGTCGCAACTCAATTAATCGATTAATCGGATTTGACGAGAAAATAAAAAATTTTCTAGGGAAACTTTTCTCTCCTTCCTTTACTTTAACAACAGAACATGATTTTGCTCTGTTTGTTAATAGAGTTGTTAAATGTTAAAATAAAGTTACTTAAATAAAATATAAGAAACATCCTAGATCTGTTTCTTCTAGTGATACACCGATAAGAAATCTTTGTGCCGATACTGATATTAAGATCACTGTTATGAACGATAACCGATAATTGCAGATACCGACATACTGATATTAATGCTTCTAAAATAAGCAGATTTTGTATAGAATGAAAATTATTAAAGCTGAATTTATGTTATTATGTACACACAACACACACGTTTACGGTTATGAGATCATTACATTCACTGTTCGCATGACTAAACAATGACACATCACCCCCGTCACCCTCTGAAACAGGCAAACAAATGGAGACGAAATGGAAAACATATCGGTTGTTAATATTGGCTCGGTTTTATTTATCGAACAGATACTGATATTTTAAAAAATGACTAACATAGGCAGATACCGATATTGATGCCGATATATTGTCCATCCCTTGTTTCTTGGCTTTTTTTTTATTGAAGTATCAGATCAGCAGATTCTCAAAATCAAATGATTTGGACTCAAGTGCAAAAAACCTGATCAGGAAAAAAATATATATATAAGTTTTCTAATTTAAACATTGCTAAGGAAACATTTTTTCTCTCCTTCCTTTACTTTAACAACAGAACATTATTAGAAAACTGTTAAATCGCGTGCAAAACAACATACTATAACCTAAATATATCCATAACTAAAGGCAAGGCAAGGCAGCTTTATTTATAGAGCACATTTCAAACACAGAGGCAATTCAATGTGCTTTACAATTATCAAGACATCATAGGAAAACAACATAAAAACACAAATTAAAATACACACAAATGGAATTACAGTTTGCAGCTAAAGGTGAAGATAAATTTACAGCGCAGATTACAGTGGAGACGACGCAGCATGAGAAACAATTCATTTAAAGGCTGATGAGTACATTAGGGTTTTTAGTTTTGATTTGAACAACGCTAGAGTTGGGGCGGATCTGAGGTCAAGGGAAAGCTGATTGCATATGTGAGCAGCATGTAACTAAATGCATCTCGACCATGTTTTGTTATGACCCGTGGTTCTACCAGCTGATTGTTTCCACGGGATCTCGGGTGTATACACAGGAATGAGATCGGACATGTATTTTGGTCCCATGTCATTGAGTGATTTATAAACTTGTAGGAGCACTTTGAAATCTATTCTGTAGTTCACTGGTAACCAGTGTAGGGATCTAAGAACAGGAGTGATGTGCTCCGTTCTCTTAGTTCTTGTTAAGACTCCAGCAGCAGCATTCTGAACAAGCTGCAGTTGCTTCACAGCTTTTTTGGAAAGACCATTTAGGCGACAATTACAATAGTCCAGCCGACTAGAAATTGAAGCATGAATAAGTTTCTCCAAGTCTGGTCTGGACATGAGACCTCTGACTCTTGATATTTGATGAAGGTGATAAAACGCTGATTTAGTTATAGGCTTAATATGTCCAGAGAAGTTCAGGTCGGAGTTAATAAGAACACCAATATTTCCAACCTGAGTTTTTGTCTTTATTCCCCCATAGTCCAGCTGAGCAATCACATCAATTCTATCACTTTTGTTGACAAAGACAATAACTTCAGTCTTTTCTTTGTTTAGTTGAAGGAAGTTTAGACTGCATCCAGTCGTTTACGTGCTCTAGGCACTGACAGAGTGCCCAGATCAGTGATCAGTAAAATTGAATGTATTTCATTAACATGTCAGTAGTAAGCTAC